TGGTCAGCTGTCTTCTAGTCTTCACAGCTCCCTCCTGTCTTTCTGTTAATCACAATGGGGTCCTAGAGTATTTTGTTCTAAACTGTTTCTCCTGAAGATATTGGTCTGCAATAAAGGATTTAATATTCTTAACAATAGAGAATGGCTTCTTCTAATCTTAACTCACAATGATCACTGAAACATTATTTGGAACAAATTATAAAATGTGGTCATGGAAAATGCAAATGTATTTGACTACAATGGGAGTATTTAAAGCAGTGAAGGAACAGAGACCCACAGAAGCAGGAATACAGCAACAACAGTTTGATGAAAATGCAGAGAAGGCAATTGCTTATATTTGCTTGTCTGTAGATCCTAGCATTGCATACCATATCCAAGGTTTAACTGATGCAAAACAAATATAGGAAAAACTACAGAACTTTGTCTGGAGTTACAGCACATGGAGAATCCTTTCCAGAACATGCAAAACTTGGACTGTTTTTGACTAGCCTTCCAAAATATTACTTTCCAATAATTAATGCTTTGCAAGTTAAAGGAGATGTTTCTTTGCAAGATGCTATTGCTCAAGTTGTTGAATTTCAAAATAGGCAGAATTTGATGGAAGGCAACTTTGATACAAAAACAGCAGACAGACAATTAGCTCACTTAGCTGCAGAGGATTTGCAAGCCAGCTCTTTTCCCAGGTCAAATAAAAACAATGTTAAGAAGTCAAAGCCAGGAACTGAACTGCAAAAGCTACTAAGCCAGGAGCTAAATACCAAAAGCAAAAGCAACTTTAAGAAAACACCTTTTAACCCTAAACAGAAATCTTTCAGTCATGTTGATATTGGTTTGATTCATGAACAAAAAATTCAAATTGCTGGAGATAAATATAAAAATTAAGTTTTCATAGATAGTGAAGCAAGTGCACATTACTTCAACAGCAAAGTTTTTTTTTTAGTATTTTGATGCAAATGTAACTTTTCCTGTCTGTCTTGCTAATGGTCAAGAAATTTTTGCACAGGGAAATGGGACTGCTATTTTGCAAACAAAACTTGGTCCTGACAGAGTAGGAATCTTACAAATCCCTGAAGCTTACTATGTACCAGATTTACAAACCTCTTTTTACAGGTTGCAAACCACAACATCAAGAGACAACTATGTTAGTTTCAAAAAACAATCCTGCTTTGGTTTTTGTGGCAAAAAAAGTGATTTTTAGACGTTGGATCTCACAGCTGTATCATAGGCAAATTTTGTATTTATCTGCAAACAGTGTGACCCAATGCAATCACAAAAACTTTTCACTTTATGGCATCACAGATTTGTTAATCAGAGTGTGGAAAATATTAAAAGACTGGCCAATCAAGAGATTGCAAGAGACTTTAAATTCAAAGCATGCTCCAACAATGAAAAATATGTAGAAAGCTTGAAAGAAAAGGCCACTAGAACTGCACAACCTCTAATAACTGCTAGGCAATCCAACAAGGCATTGGATCTTTTACATGCTAATCTTTCTGGAACAATGAATCAAAAGTCTGAAGGAGGCAACTCTTACTTTAAGACTATTATTGATGATTTCAGCAGGTACACATACATTTAACCTTCTCAGAGAGAAGAGTTAAGCCTTTCAAAATTTCAAAGAGTACTTTAGTCTCTAACAAGTTTGGCTATAAACCCAAGAGCCTGCACACAGACAATGGCACTGAATTTGTTGATGCTCAATTTGATGAGTTTTTAAAGGAATATGGCATTGAGCATCGGACCACACAGGCTTATTCTTTGGAACAAAATGATGTGGCAGAGAGAATGAACAGAAATCTCAAGGAGATGGCAGTCACCATGCTTTTGGGGGCTAATAT